AAATATGATAGGTTGACCAATGATGCCCATATCAGCTGATTACAGGGAGTGAGAGAGAAAAGGGTTGTGATTGAGACTGAGGCGTAAAGATAGTCCTCCTGATTGAGCTTACACTAAGCTTCATTTGTTTCCTTGCTGACAGTGAGATGGTCAGATNAGCAAAAAATCTTTGTTGCCATGTGCAAACAGGAAGAGTGAGAGGTGAAGAGTTGTTGGTGATTAGACCCCGTTGTGATGTCATCATATTGGAATAGAGGGAAGATGCTGTGCGTTGTGTAGGAAATCCCCCCCTGGGGTCTAGACACCGGTGGTGGTCCTGGTGGTGAAATGAAGATCTGGATGATGAGGAATGGCTTCTGATGAGCTCAGCCTAGGAGCTGGACATGAGGCCAGGAGGTGAAAGGGGAGGAGGAGGGTCGCAGCATCCGCCTGAAATGAAAGCTGATAGCAGGAGAGAGGACGGATTTTTTATGTGGGTTAGCGCTGAAATAAAGTGTCAAAAAATTTGTCGAATTGTAATTATTGAGAAATTGTTCAAAATATTTATANTAGGTTGACCAATGATGCCCATATCAGCTGATTACAGGGAGTGAGAGAGAAAAGGGTTGTGATTGAGACTGAGGCGTAAAGATAGTCCTCCTGATTGAGCTTACACTAAGCTTCATTTGTTTCCTTGCTGACAGTGAGATGGTCAGATGGATCTCAGTCTCATGTCTGTGTGTTCCGAGCTGAAGTCAGGACTTTAGACTGGGAGCGGGTGCAACAGTTCGCCAGGCTCAGTCCAGAGTTTGAAACCTACATGCTGGATCTATTTCTTAGTGAACCACATTTTATCAGTCTGCTGTCACCAGGCGGCTTCACAGGGAAGCCAAACCTCTGGGCGTCACTTCAGCTAGAGATATACGTTCAGCACACGTTCAGTGGAGATAAAAACATGTCACATTTTTGTTTGTGTGAAGATGAAACAAACCAGAAGCACCATAACGATCAGTGAACTATTTATGATGTTTGGTCAGTTATTTTTATGTGGGTTAACGCTGAAATAAAGTGTCAAAAAATTTCGAATTGTAATTATTGAGAAATTGTTCAAAATATTTATAAGGGATGAACAATATGCAAAACAGTTATATTGGGATTATTTTGATGATGATGTGATTTAGATTTTGTCAAAACTGCAGCTCTTGTGATTTGGATATTGCACTCGGCCAAATTGTGATTTCGATAGTTCTTCTGTTTTTCACAGTTTTCTGTCATTAACTGAAAATCTGTGACAGTGACAGACAGATGGTGTTTGTACTATTGTACTATTTTATTCACTAAACCAGCGGTTCCCAACCTGTGGACTGGGGCCCGCTGGTGGGCCACAAAGGTATTGCAAGTTGGCTGACAAATCGTTTGCAAAACAGTACAATTTTGGTGAAAGGATGTAATTATATGTATAAAAAATATATTTCTGTATTTGTATAAGTAATGCTTTCAAATGTTTAAAATGATCTTTATAAAGATTAATAATGTTTAAAAACCCCTTTCATTGATTCTTGTATCAAAACAGATAGCTGGTTAGCAAGAGGAAGAATTAAAAGGAAAGAGATGGTGAATCGACAAGAAAAATTGAGCTTTCAGTTCAGTCCTGAATGTTTGATCATTATCGTTAAAATAAAAAGTGCTCCGTATTGTTACGGGGTCGGATGTGGGCCTCCAGCATTTTAGAGATTTTCAGGTGGCCATGAGTTGGAAAAGATTGGGAACCACTGCACTAAACAATACATGGATTAATCAAACTAGAAGAGCACTCAGAGAGCACAGGATCACTGTCAAACAACTTCCACCAGACTTAAGAGAAAAAAACTCAAATTCATAGTAAATGATCCAGATCTGCTCCAAGATGTAGTGTGTTCTTCTCTGGACCAGGACCCAGCCCTCCTCCAGGCCCAGAGCGTCAGTTCAGAACGTCTTGTGAAATCCTGCTGACAAACAAACAGACAAATAATCAACAGGTTTATCGATAATGAAAATAACCATTAGTTGCAGCCATGGTGCAGATGAACTGTAGTGTGACCAGCTGGTTATTATATATCAATAATATAAACTGGGCCTCACATAGTGGGTGGGGCTTTGACTGTCTGCTCCTCTTCCTCTCAGCACGGGGTCTGACTCTGTCCCTCCTCTCTGCAGGTTCCCGCTCTTCACGGCGGTCTACCAGATCTGTTTCGAGGGGAGGCCGATCAACGAGATGATCTCCTGCCTGCAGAGCCACCCGGAGCACATGTGATCCACCTGGTGGGTCCCACAGACGCTGCTGAAGGGATTCATGTTCACACCAAGATCAGTTTAACATCAAGTTAGCCTCACTCAGCATGAAAAGATAATGCCTGTCATCATTTCACCTAAAACTAATGTGGACCAATGGAAACCAAAAACCAGAGCTGCCAGAATCCAACAGTTTTTTTTATTTGTTTGTACAAAAGAGGAAACTGCTCTCAGTCGTCGGGTCTGCTGACCTCCTCCATCCAAACGTGTAGTTTAACAGAGCAGACGTGCGTTTCAGTGCTGCACGGTAGATATTTGACACTTCTCATTATTTCCTGTATCTGTCGAAGCCGGTCTCTGATTGGAGGAAAGCATTTACAGCGATCTCCACCTTCCCCTGGCTGGTATTTTCACATGGTGCTCCTCAGACGTTGAACTCAAATCCACCAGCGCCACCCTGTGGTTAAACAGCACAAAACATCAAGCTGTTGACATTTTAAAGGATGAGTCTGGTTTATTACAACAACAATCATTTTTTGGACATTATATTGCCTTTAATCTGACGGACACAGTGACAGGGAGACGGGAGGGTCAGGGAGAGAGAGAGGGGCCACGGGTGGGACTGGAACCCGGGCCGCTGCTGTGAGGAGTGAACCTGAATGATACGCACTCTCCCAGGTGAGCCACCGGGACGTCCTCTATTACAGCTATTACTCACAGTCTTGACATCAGTAACGTTAATAAGACTGTACTCACCATGTTAAAGGAAGATTGTGGATTTGACCTTTCTGACTGTCGGTCATGTCCGGCTGTAGAAGCTCTTTGGGTCTCTGAGTTTCCTCCAGCTTCCTGAATACAAACTCATTTTACAGGTTTAAAGGTTTGTGAGTCAGACACAAACACAGACGTTAGCTCCTGAGATTAGCTGCCAGCTAAGAGCTCAGGATCAACAACAAACATGTGTTATTACAGTTTGATAGACAGCATCATGTGCTGCTGCTGTTTCCCACCACAGATGAACTAATAACATGAATGGAAGCTGAATCCAGGGCGTGGTACTGTACACGCTGCTCATTAGGACACCTGTTGGCGCAGAGCCATGATTTACTTCTTCAGATTTGGCACAAATGTCCACTTGGACTCAAGGATGAACTGATTAGATTTTAGTGGTCAAAGGTCAAAGGTCAAAGTCACTGTGACCTTACACAACCAAACCTTTTTGGCCACAACTCACAAATTCATTCACTAATTATGACACAATTGAACTAAAATGTCTATGAGGATAAAATTAAGTAATAACATTTTATATCCAAAAGGTCCAAGGTCAACCTCACTGTGACATCATAATGTTCCGCAAAAACACTTCTGGCCATGATTCAGTGATGTAACTCAGGAAGGAGAGACTGTGACCATATTTCGTCCAACTTGTCTGGTTGGCGGAGGGATACAACCGTGAGGTGGTAAATCTAGTTCTTACAGCTTTTAACTTGGTGAGTACAGTCTTATCATAACTGATTCAAATTACGGCCCCAGTTGCAACATTTAGACCCGATCAGTAATAAAGCAGAAGAGTCCTTTAAATGTCACATGACCTGGTCAGTCAGTGGGATGAAAAAGCTCCATTTCTCCTCTCAGACTGAACTCCACTGATGTTGTAAGATACACTCTGGTGACAGTCATAGTGTTTATATACAGGTTTTGCTGGTGTAGTCTGTAACTGCAGGTGTCTCCTTTATGTCTGCTTGTTAATGAAAGATGGCGCCCTCACCCTGAACCCTTATTGATAACATATATTTCCTGGTTTGTGACCAAATGTTGAGGTGGAGCCTGTGTGTTGTCACTGCGACAGTACAGTGGTCGTCAGGTTCTCACATATCAACAGGCAGATGCTGTTAATTACCTGAGACAATTAAAACTACCAGCTGCTAAGAGCCTGCCTGCAGACACCAGCATGACACTGACGCCCTGCAGTCACGTCCTGCTCAGCACCATCAGCAGTGAACAGTGCGTTGTGAAGAATAGTTACTGTGTTTCAGTATCTTGGTATTCAGATATTTTCTCTCAGGTAAACAGACAGGTGTGTTTAAATATTCATAAATCCTATTGTACATGAGAAAAGATATGGAGCTCTACAAATCTGTTGCTTCTTAAATGGGTGACATACAGTATTTATGGAAGATGATGAGTGACTTCACTAACCTGCGCTATGTTTTGGTAAACCAGCATTATATCCATGTGAAATATATCCAGTATATTTCTGAGTGTTTCTCTTTAAGCTTCCTGATTGTTGCCAACTGTCTAACTCTGTCTGACTGTATGGAGCTCATTTGTATGTAAGTGATTTTTTTGTTTTGTTCAAGTTTCCTCATAGAGCTGTTGACCAGAGTGCCACATGGTCACTGTGTGGTAAACAGTCCCAGGTGCTTCTTAATTTACAGTTTAGTGAAGTGACTGTTGCTGTTCACCTCACAGTGCAGGGTCTGGAACAGGGTTCACTTCCTCCTCACTGCTTCACTGAGCGGTGACAGCTGTAGTCAGAGGTTTTATTTCAGGGTCAGTCTCATTCTTGTGACCGTGATACCTCATTAACACCTTGAGGGAACTTCTTCAAATTAGCCACAAACGATCACAAAGGCTGCGTCTGAAATCACTCATACTCCCACTATAGTCCACTGTACAGAGAGTCCACCATTTTGTATTATTATATCAGTATACTCTATATAGTGGACGCGTAGTATCCCACAATGCATCATGAAAAGTAGTGCGCAGCCGATGGTCATGGAACAGTCCTCCTCACAGGACTCCCGCGATGATGAGTAGAGGAGTGAATGAGTGAGCGATTTCAGACACAAGCTTCTTCAGACTCAAGGATGAACTGATCAGATTTTGGTGGCCAGAGGTAAAAGGTCAAAGGTTAAAGGTCTGAGAAAGGTGACCCCACACAACACCCTTTTGGCCACAATTCAAGAATTTATAGATTCATTATGACACCGTTTAACTCAAATGTCTAATAGGATAAAATGAAGTGATGAAATTTTATATCTAAAAGGTCAAAGGTCAACTTCACAATGGCATAATGTTCTGCAAAAACACCTCTGGTCATTAGCGAATGCTGTAACTCAGGAACAGAAGGAGCGGTTGTGGTCAGATCCTGAACTGGTGACACTGACCCTGATGTCCACCTTTTAACTGTTTCGGTCTTCTGTGCTGCTGAGTATATTACCTTACTTTATTATTCCGGACGGACATGCATGTGAACTACATCTTGACTGGTTGGTGGAGGTGAATGACGTGAAGTTCGCGAGCACCGTCTCATGTGGACAGACCAGAGCTCAGATTATCTTCAGATTGGCAGCTTTCAGTTCTTACAGTTGTTTGTGTTTTCATGTTTCATGTCACAGTCCATCCTCACTGTAGGTTAGTGTTGCTCTAACTGCACTTACAGACGCACGCACGCACACACACACACACACACACATGGATCTGACCTGGTAAAACTGAAAAATATAACAGATACTATAACTATGTACAAACTCTCCACACTGTGGTTTTAGGGGTCGAAGGTCTTCACCATGAGAGAGAACTGATGTTACTTCAGTCTGATTTTGCCTTTCTATGATTTGGACTGTAACATTAGTAAAGAGGATCCTGGTGTCTTTCTGTTTAAATAAAGTTGATGTTTCCTGCCTGTGATGTTTGAGATAATGAGTCCTGGTCTGAATAAACAACTATCCTCACTAATCCTAATCTCTGGGCTCCGCAGCACATTGGATTAAATGAAATAATGACTCTCAGATTTAATTTGAGGTCTAACTACTTTTGTACATAAACCTCCAATTCTATGAGAAACAAAGTGAAAAGGTTCATATGAATTTAAATTTATGGTGATATTTTGGGTCTCTATTGACTCTTCCCATTTTAATTCTTCACATTTAGATTTACAGTATTACCCTTTACCTCGCTATTGGCAAGATGACGTATTTCACTTTAGTGGAAATTTCCTATGGTTCAATCTATTTCTGTGGCTTGAGGATGTCATGTATTTTCTTAAGTTAGAAAAGATAATATTCTCAGTGAGAGGCACTTTTTTTTCCATAAATGGAAGTCTTTCATAGATCTCCTCACACCTTCCCTCCCTCCATGCCCAAATTTCTTCTTTCTTCATTTATTTTTTCTTATACATTTTTTTCTTTATTTACTCTTTAGGTTTTCTATATAATTTTCCTTTTTTCACTTTGTATCCATTTGTTAGCTATTACAAATTAATATTCATAAGTATTTGAATGTTATATGGTTTTTATATTTGATATATTTATTTATACGTTATAGTTTAGTATTAGTATGTTATTATTTTTTATAAAGTGACAGTGTTTGTGTATATTGTGTACCTCATGGCCTGGGGGATGTTCCTGCCATTAAAAAAGGAAGACACTTGTAATCATATATTTCTATATTCATTGTTGTATCCTCAATAAAAAGATTATTACAAAAAAAAGAGAAAAAACTTAAATAAACAGACAGACATGCGGTATCGTGCCTGGTGATGCTCTGTAGCCATCTCCACCTGCTTGTTTCAGTGGCTTTTGGCCTTCACTCTTCAGTTAGTGGAACACATGCTGACGTCATGTGACTTATTTTACCATCCAACAATGTTCCAGTCTGAAAGCCTCCTGGTTGCCTCTGTACTTTTCACTGGAACAACACATGCATGTCTTTGAGGAGAAATTGTACGATTGATCACATCTTACCTTTCTCTGTGATGGCAGACTCTTCAGGCTGCTCCAGGTGTGTCAGTTCAGAACAGCTACAAACACTTTGGCCCACAAAACAAACTGGTTTTATCCTTTTAATGTTATAACATGATATTTTTCATGTTATTACTACACCAAATCTAAAAACTGTATGTGAGAATGTGAGTATGACTGTGTGTCTGTTCACCCTGTGACAGATCTACACTGTCCAACTCCCTGCAGGATTATAATCAGGTTTGTATAGAGGACGAGTGAACGATGTTTCAATGTGTCTCATCACAAGCATGAAATAAAACTTAGCAATATGAATGAATGAATGATATTAATACATTAAGATGATAGTGTTTACCATGTCAGAGAGATTGTACAGGTAAAATAAACTTTGGAGTACCTCAAAGGATAGAATATTATTCATTTTAATATCTAATCACTTTAAGCATCAAAACTGTGATCTGGCTGAAGATGAATGAAAAACAAAAATAACCTCAAACTGGAGCTTGTTTTTCTTATTTCTATATTATAATCTTTGTGCCTCTTATAAAATAGAAAAAACACATTTCTTTAAAACATGTCACTGATGAGCATCTGACCCAGATAGTGGTAGAAGTGGTGTTTTACAGATTCAATACAAACATTTTATACAAACCACAACTTCACAATAAAGCCACCATCAAAACTGATGGTGATCAAAACTGTTGATTTTGTTGTACAAGGTGGAGCCATTTCAATTGTAAGCAGTTGAGAAAGATTATATCATCTTCCTGTAAAACAATAGTTCTATTGTTAGACAGACAAACAGCAGTTGCCAGAAGCAGCTCAGGCTGTCACTGATTGTCCTTTCACCTGTTTGATTGGTTCCTTGTAATATTACTAAAAATTATGTTTTTTCTCTCAAAGTTTTACATTTTTAATTCTTGTAATATTACGACTTTTTTATTTAAATATGAATTTTTCTTTTAATATTACACCTTTATTCTCATAATATTATTACTTTTTTCTTTAACTATGATTTAATTTTCAAATTATAACTTAATTCTCGTAATATTATGACTTTATTCTCGAAATTTCAGATTTTTTTTTCCTCAATGTGACCCTAATTCTCCGTGGTAGAAATAGCGTTTTATTGCATTAATTAATTGATTAATTAATGCATTTATTTATATATTTAATTATTTATATCTGTATTTATTATGGCATGTTTGGTCCTCCATAAACATCTGTCACTACTGGTCTGCCGCCACACTCCAGTCCAGCCGGGGTCACAGAGTCCGGCAGACTGGTCAGAGGAGACACCGAAGAAGAAGAAGAAGTAGAAGGGCGGTCCGGAGTGGACTAAAGGACCTGACCAGCAGCTCCATGGTGAGAGTGAGGGCGGAGAGTCACCTGTGTGGTCTAATAACACCGTTAGTTGTAACCTGCGAGCAGTGAGCAGGTGAACAGACTAGCCGCTGACAACTGGAGCAGCCTCTCTGCTGGTACCTGACATGCTAACTGCAGGAGCTAACTGGAGCCATGTTTTGTTGCTGTCGTTGAGTAGAAGTCACAGAGAAAACAGCCTGAACCAACCAGAACTAACCTGAACTAGCCTGAACTAACCAGCGAGGACACTCCAGCCTCTGCAGGGAGGTTACGTGTTATCTTGGTTAGTTAACTAGCTGTTTAGATTAGCTGATGGTGGGTCATCTAAAGAGCTACATGCTAACGCAGCAGCTAAAAACAAAGCAGCCTAAGCTGCTTAATCCTGGACGTTTAGTTTCAGGTGCTGTTATCACCATGGTAACATTAAAGATTTAATTATCTGTGTGGAGCAGGGTTATTAATTTCCCTCTGACGTTGGTTTGAACTAATAATAACACTTGAAGCTGGTCAGACTGGTGACACTGGTGAATCCTCCCTGTGACACAGGACCGTTGATGGACGGGCTGCTGACGCCATGATTTAACGCTCCTCTGCTGACAAACAGCACCAGCTATGTCTGTCAACTCCCTCCTGCGATGCACCATCAGGTAACACTGCTGAACATGTTGTGAGACCGACCTGAGTGTTATCTGCAGCTGTGTCAGCTCCAACTTTTAGCTCAGGAAGCGCTGAGGTTGACATGATGATGATGATGATGATGATGATGATGCTACATGAAAAGTAATCAGGATCAGTTTGTCAGTGTCTGTATCAAATGTCATGGAGATCGATTCAGTGTTTGTGGTACAGACATAATAACTGATCAGATGACTCAATATCACCATGTGTTTAACAGTAACTTTAAAAAAGCTAAAATACTATACACATTCTGACCTTTATTATTAACAGTATAAAACTTGCCATGCCTTATTAAAAGCTCCAGATGGTCTTGTCCGGTCCAGTTTGAGCTTTAGCTGCTGCAGACTCCTCCATGTAGACTTCAAAGGACCTCAGTCTCTGTTACTTGTATGACTGAACGGCCGCTTTGTCGACTTCCTGGATGGTCACTGGTGTGACCCAAATATCTAGTCCCAAGAAAATCCACCACCAGCTTCTCTGTCTTGTTTGTGTTGAGCTGGAGGCAGTTCTACCAGAACGCCGTGCTTCATCAGATTCCAGTGTTCATCTTTATCTATAATAATAAAATATGGATCATGGATTTGACAATAAAGGAGTTTATGTATGAAACACAAGCTAAAATGATTAGTTAATCTTTAGTAATTAATCAAATCAAAATGCCAGATGTTTGTAGTTTAACAGCCTCACAGTCAGAGGATTTTTAAATTTTCACTCTCACTGTTACAAACTAAAACTCAGGATTTAAACTGTAACAGGAAACTGGACAATCACAGTTTGAAATAAGCAATAGAGATAGATAGATAAGCAATAGATTGATTAATAATCAAAATAATCTTACCGCTAACTGTGACAATACCCCCCCCACCCCTGACTATAGTCCATTAAGGAGATCAAATGGTAGAGAATAATAAAGTAGCAACAGGAAGTGACAGAGAGAAATAGGTCAACGTTCACCTGTAGAGGAACAAGGTAGAACAAGAGGGAGGAGATCACTGATCTGTATCACTAATACTTCATCTCTTCCTTCTCCACTCTAGATGGGATGGAAGTATAAACGGTTAACCTCTGTATCTCCGTCTGTGCAGGCTGAAGAGGAAACATGTGGCCACACATCTGGCCCAGCTCAGAGCTCTGTCAGGGGCAGATGCGGTCAATGCTCTCAGACCTTTTTATTTTGCTGTCCATCCTGACTTCTTCTGTCAGTATCCCAGAGAGCGGGTACGTCTCTCATGTGATTGTTTAGCAGTTCAGAAATGTGAATGGATGTCATACAGTTTAACTTGGCAGTGATTTGCTGGTGGAATAGTTTGTGGAAGAGGCATCTTCACCCCACTGCGTTACATTTAATTTTACAGGAAGTGAATGAGAACTCATTAAAGAGGCTAAATGGCTACCTGGAGAACCTGCAGAAGCCTGGGTCAGTCTCAGTTCAGCCAATGAAGCTCACCTTTTATGTCAGGGACACAAAAGACAGCAGTGACCTGCAGCCAGACCTCCTCACCTCAGGTACAGTGTCCATTCTTATTGCTCATAATATTTTTGTAGTTGTGTTTTTAGGAGTCTAAAATCTCCTGCCTGGTTCTCAGGGTTCCGGTCAGTGAGTTTCACCCTGCACACAAACGATGTATTGAGCACAGTGATGAATGTGTTAAAGTCCTGCAGCCTGCCTGTGGAGCACATGAAGGGACTGAAAGCAAGAGCAGAGACAGCTAAAAGTCCACCTGAGGCGGGGGTGCCTTTCTACAGACCCATCAAATGGGATAAGAGCTACTATACCTTCACTGGCTTCAGGGACCCTGAGCAGGAGCTGCAGCAGGCCAGGAGGGTGGAGCCTACACTCAGGTGAGAAAGACCGGACCTCAGCTTGCAGCTACAGCTGACGCACGTGCAGTGACTAATGTAGAGCTGTTTATCAAACCTCAGTACAGACAGGGAGCATCAATTATTAGAAATGGTTCAGCTCATTACTGCCCTCTAAGACCACAGACTGCTGTTCAGGTATATGGGGAAGTGTGTGATATACTGTAAGTGATATGGTCTCAGACTGGATTCCTTGTGTGGATCCACTTGTTGATTTCAGTCTCCTCAGAGTGGGTTCATGTTTCCTTTTCTTTGTCAGTTTGTGGCTGAGAAACAACGAGCCTGAGGCGACAAAGAAGCACAGTGCTAGTCTTCCTCGGAGAGAGGAGCTGAACAGACTGAAGAAGGAGCTGTGTCACAGATTTGATCTGGCTGATATCAGGTACTCTGCTTATTCCACTGAGAAAGTGCTGTGAGAGCTGTTAACAACATTTAAGTCTACCTGTAGTCTACCTATAGGTGTGTACTCACCTGTCTGAACATTATGCTGAGCCTTGTTCTTGGCTCAGTAATCAGCAGCTGAGCAGAGCCGGTGTGCTTTGGTTTACAGAATTGTAAAAGTTATAATAATAGTAAACATATATGACTGGGACTGTTGATCTTTAATTAAAGGCTGTGTACATGTTGCCATGGTGATGTGTGGTGCAGGTGGCAGCGCAGTTGGGGAGTCGCCCACAGGTGCTGTCAGCTACAGAGTCTGAGCCGACTGTCCCAGCAGAACCCTGAGGCCCTGATCAACCTGCAAGGTACAGTCTCAGTGAGGAGAGGGCAGCTGTGCTAACATCTGACTGTGCTAACATCTGTCTATACTAACATCTATCTGTGCTAACATCTGACTGTACTAACATCTGACTGCTTACATCTGTCTGTGAAAACATCTATTCATGCTAACATCTGTCTATAGTAACATCTGACCGTGCTTACATCTGTCTGTGCTAACATCTGTCTATAGTAACATCTGACTGTGCTTACATCCATCTATGCAAACATCTGACCGTCTTAACATCCGTCTGTGCTAACATCCGTCTGTGCTAACATCTGTCTGTGCTAACATCTGTCTGTGCTAACATCTGTCTGTAATCCATGTCTCTAATCTCAGTCTGTCTGTCCAATCGTAGCGTATATCACTCTCCTTCAAGGTTTCATATTATCAACGACAGCAACAAAACCATGCAATAAATTATTGATAACAATTTATTTTTAATTAATTATTTTTTTCCACCAAACAATGTAGTTCTTCAGTGACATCTAGCAGAATGGTTGCCGAGCAACATAGAGACACAGCAACACACAGGAAAGCATGTTAAAGAGTGTGATTATTAATATTTATCTGAATATCACCGTTAATTGTGCCGTTGTTGAAGTATTGGTCTCCTCTGTGCTGGTACAGGTGTGTGTGAGACTCTAGACAAGTGTGTTTTTAATTGTGCAGTGACAGAATTGAGGACATTGCTCTCTTCTCTCATTGTAGTTTGGGCTCCAGTAAAAATTGCCCCAGTTGTCACTGACATGGTTCCTCTGGGCTCAGCATCAGAGAGTTTCACAGCTTCCCTCTGAACCATGGTCCACTTTCTCTAAACGGACTTTACTGTCCAACAGCAGCTAAACAGAGAAGTAAAGTGTAAAGCTGGTGAAAACTTAAATCTGTTCCTCCACCTCCTCTGCAGGACACACCGTGGTGTTTGCTGACCAGTCAGGAATGAACGCCTCTGGACACGTGATGTTGGGAACCATGGATGTTCATCACCAGTGGACCAAAGTAATGCAGCTGCAGAGCTCCTGCTGTCAAATGACCCATGTGCGTCCCTCTCTGTTGTCTGACCCCTCCTCTGCCTGTATCTCCAGCTGTTTCAACAGCTGCCCAGCTATCGCAGCCTGCAGCAGCAGACAGACTGGCTGAAGGAGAGGATCAGCCTCCTCCTGGGTGGCACTCAGGTGGTCCACTTGGAGAGGCTGGGACCAGTTCAGCCCATTGCAGAGCACTACAGCACCCTCAGCATCTTCCACAAGAACCTGATGTCCCGACGGCTGCGGCTGCACCCCAGGAGTCTGCAGGGGCTCACCATGCTGCTGGAGAAGTAAGCTGTCACATCTTGACTCACTGCTGTCAACTGTCTATAAGATATAACTTGTTGTTTGTTGTCCGTCGCAGTGACCGTTCCAACCCCAGTCTTCATGAGATGGGGCACTTCATCATCCCCACCAACTGTGACCCCCCCAAGCTACAGGTCTTCCTCCAGAGCCACGCCCCCGAGGCCAGAGAGCGCACCCAGCGCAGAAACCAGTGAGTCCAACATACCACGTGATTCTTAGTATAAAGTCTTGGAGTTGGAACCTGATTCCTAAACCCTGTTCTCACTGGACTTGTATTACCCAGAATCCTCATGGTTTTTCACAGAGGAGACGAGAAAAAATTTTTTTTTCTTTCTCTGAGACTCACAGATTTACTAATAGTTATACATTATTGTAAGAAATATTTTGTTGATGGCTGGCAACACTATAAAGACTTATTGCCACAATCTTTTAAAATAAAAGCCTCAACCTCTTGGTTACTACGTCTGGGTCTGCTTAACCTTTTGCCCGTGTCTGTAACTGTGTGCACTGTGCATGCTGACTGCTAACTCTGCACTGGTGCTAAAACCTTAACTTTGCTAGTTAAAAAAACACATATAAATCACCCAGATCAAACCTGTTACTTATTATCAACTTTCACACGTTTAAATGGAGAAAATTCTCATGTTTCAGTCGGTAACTGTCCCAAAATGTTTTTGATTTTAACGATAATGTGCAGCCCTGACTGTACAAGTGTTTTTGATGGAACAAAAGTGACCTGTCACTGACTCTGACTTGTTTGTTTGTCCAGGCTGCAGGCAGAGGAGGAGGCTGTGGTGCAGCAGTGTCTCCAGAGTCTGTCTCTGAGGAGTCTGTCCAAGGAGCCCAGTGTCAGCTCAAGTCAGATGATCCTGTGCTGTAAGAGGCTGGTGGAGCAGCGCTCCCCCCTCATGCAGGGCCTCCACGTCTGCATCTCTCACTTCTACTCAGTCATGCAGGACGGGGACCTGTGTCTCCCCTGGGACTGGAAGAGCTGAGCTGGAGAGACCCGGTCTCAGCTGCAGGATTTGACTCAGTCCAGTATTTTTAGCAGTGTAATGTTGAGACAGCAGGTAAACTGTTTATTAGATGTCTGCAGGTCACAGCAGAGTCACACCTGTCACTTCTCAAGGGAAACCTTTGTTAGGCGGTTCATTCAAACTGACCAGTGTGGGCTCATCCAATCAGAAGCACTTTATCCTCCCGCTGGAAAAGCCAAATAGAAGCGACCGCAAGCTAAACAGGTGGGAACCAGAGGCAGAGGTGCAATATGACTGAAGCAGTTTTCAGACAGGGGCTGACGCATTGTTTGACAAAGTCAGTATTTATTGTTGCTGTGTGACGTGTACTGAGGAAGATTTAATAATGGTTCTGTTAAAGGTTCAGTCTGTGAAATAAATGAAATACTAAAGCACCACATTCAGCCCCTGGGTCAGAACTGGTCATCACTCTGACTGACACAGGAAGAAGGTTCAGTTTGCTTCAAATGAACTGATGTGTAGAAGAGACAAGAAACACACCTGACCAATCACTGCAGAGAAAAGGGATGACTGCCACATGGTCTGTTTCACAGGATTCAGTTTCAGTGGTGTAGGAGGAGGTTTCAGAAGGACTTCATTTGAAGCACACTGATCCCCTTCAGTTCAGTATCGCTGCTGTGGGAGAATCCAATTCAGGTTTTTATAGAGCTCAGACTATACATGTCAATATAACTAATTTATATGAAACTGACTGAGGGGGGGCCTCATCACTTCAACATTAACTAACCTTCTACAGTGTCACGGTCTAAGGTGGATCCAGCACCTGAAACCTTTTTGTGTCAGAGACTAACCAGGACTGGTCTTTAGAAACACTTCCTGTTAACACACACACACACACACACACACAGGGAAGTGGAGTTCTCCTGTGATCCCAACTGTGTCTGACATCACTCCATCATTCACTGCTCCCTGTAGAACGGACTCAGTATTGAGCAGTAAATTGAGATTTCAACATCATCATCACCGACGACTGTACAGCTACAGCTGTGCTTTTAACATCTATAAAACGGGGGTCATCGTGTCCATGACATGGAGACAGAGGGTAGAGAGCAGTGATGGAGAGATTTCAGACACAGCCTCACATCTGAACTTTGTAATGATCCCACTGATGTGAAACACTGATTCTTCTCTAATAAAAAAAAGTTAATTTCAGACTGGACTGATCATTCTGACGTTCACCTGACTCTGACTCTCAGTAACACCTGAGAAACTCAGTGATAAAAATGTAAATTAATAATCTCTCTACACTGTGATAATATTGATTGAATCATGTAATAACTTTTTTAATCCACATTCCAGCTGTGCTCCATCTATGTGTAATGTATTATATAGAACAGAGATATTTTCAAAGTGGGAGGCGGGCCTCTCCAGGGGAGGTCCTCAGTTATGTCTTTGGCTTAGTCTCAGGTTGTCAAACTGCAGTAACAGTCCATCATGGCTCTAGTGTTGAATGTCTATGGGATCAAATAACATAATCATGATCACAAAGGCATCCAGGAAGTGAGTGAAACAAAACAAGTAAACTACGGTGGGGTGAGGGGAGGCCCACAGTCTCAGACTCTGAAAACCCCCGATATAGAATACACAGGTGCAAACCACATATAAACCCCTATCACTGCAGCTGTCCCTCAGGTCAGTTCTTAACGGAGCACAGCTGTGAAGTGGAGCAGCGTGGTGTCGTACAGTTACAGTCATGACCTGTCATCATTGTGTGGGACATAGTACAGCCTCTGAACCTGGAGGCCAGAATCAGGCCAGGAGGCCAGATACTCTACTGGGTGGCTCTCAACCTGGGGGATAACTGGGATAATCTCCGGGGGTCACCAGGTGGTTGTGGAGAAGAAAATAAAATCATTAAAATATAAATAAAATATTTGGATCTGTTGGATCATCCATCATCATCCATTGAAAAACAGCTGAGGCCTCAGTGTTTACTCCTGTCTTTACTACATCACCTGTGACTGTGTCCACTAAGTATTTAAGAGTCAGACATGATGTACAGTAAATAAAATTTATTTTCATTGTTCAGACAACACACAGGTTCCTCAGTCAAATGGAAATAAAAAGTCAGCTGGTCTCAGTCCATGGACGCGGCTGCAGCTCAGGTTCTTCACTCGTCCGTCAGCAGCCACACCTGCATTTCATACGGCTCCTGACGCTGAGGGAAGGCAGCTTTATAAATATCAAGGCTCCTCACAGATGTGTGTGTTTATGTGTGTGTGTGTGTATGTGTATGTGTGTGTGTGTATGTGTATGTGTGTGTGTGTGTGTGTGTGTGTGTGTATGTGTGTAGGGGTCAGAAGTGTGGAGGCTCATTTGCGCTGAACTTGTGTGAAGGATGAGGGCAGCTGGAAGGGCTGGACGGGTTTCTTACGGGAGTCTGGTGAGACCCTCTGGACCGCTGTGGGCAGCAGCTGGTTTCGTTTGATGATCTGCAAGGCGAGCTGGGTGTTACCTGAGGACACAGCACACAGACACACACCTGAGGATTATCACCCACACACTGGAACACAGGAAGAGGTTCAAACCACAACCCCCATTCACATCAGCTGGACTCACCCAGGAGCTTAATTAACAGAAAAGGTGAGAGTACTGTCTGTTTACAGTCAATAACCCAGAGCAGGGTGTCGCCTGTAACACCAGTGACACCTGAGGTTTTTTTCATGCAGCTCTTCAGGACTGTTTATCAGCAGATACAGAGTCCTACTCTGCGTTTACCAAAATGCTGATTAGATACAGTTGTATGCAGTTCAGATCACAGCTGATATGAGCAGACTGATGTAAAGATGACATCAGATCTCGATCCCTGGACCAGGTCTGATTCTGGTCTCAGGACTCCTCTAATACCTGAGTTTCAGTATAAATATCAATATGATACTTTTCTGCTCTACTTACTTGGGACATGTTTTGCAACATAATATCTGAATATGATCATTAATGAGGAACTTTTATTTATATTTTTTAAAGAATTTTATTCTTCAGACTGTTTGTTGTTTTTATTGATATTAGTTTTTTGAACTGGATCAAATGTTTTACTTTTACTTTAGATAAATTGTGGAACTTGTCACTGTTATTAGTAGTTTTACTGTTGTTGGTATTCGTTGTTATTTTCTTGTTTCCTTTTTTGTCTTTGATTTTAATTTACATTGTTTTGCATTATGCTGTACTTTTTACTTGAGTGGAGCCCAGGAGCAGTAGCTGCTACCTTGGTTGTAGCTAATGGGATCCAAATAAATAAACCAATAAAATACTCTACAACAAAATAAGCCAAGTTCCTCACAGTGTGTGTTCAATGTTGACTGAACACAAAATGTTTAGTCAATAATAAAACAGAAAATGAGGATTTAAATAAAAAGCTCCAGATTTAAAGAGGAAGACTTTCTGTTCATTACAACAGGTCGGACTCAGTCAAGTCAAACAACTGCTGTTCCAGATGCAGATACAGGTATAATAAGATGTTTTAATAACAGCTGCTGGCAGCTGTTTTGTGTCATTATACAGAATTATCAATTTTGAAAATTTGTTTTCCTCTTGGAACAGTGTCATGAAACAGGATTTAAACAGCAGAGCTCCACCAGCAGGACAGAGGACTGCTGCTCTGGAGATTACTGTGGGGCTGTTTTTATACGCCCTGCCCGACAGCACTGAGGAGAAGCTCAACAACCTGCCAGTGATTCAGAGGTTTTATAGACACAGTGAGTCAGTGAGTGTGACGGAGGTCTGACCGTTCTGTAGCTCTAAGTAGACTCCCAGCAGGATAGCTTCAGGTGGAATCTCCTTAGTGTTCACCATCGACGCAGCCTAATGAAGACAAACACACCACAGCTGGATGAGTCCTGAATAAAATGATCATGTTCAACTGTTCAAACTTCAACAACACACCTCAGATACAGGTCTCACCCTCAGATACAGGGCTCACCCTCAGATACAGGTCTCACCCTCAGATACAGGGCTCACCCTCAGATACAGGTCTCACCCTCAGATACAGGGCTCACCCTCAGATACAGGTCTCACCCTCAGATACAGGGCTCACCCTCAGATACAGGTCTCACCCTCAGATACAGGGCTCACCCTCAGATACAGGTCTCACCCTCAGATACAGGGCTCACCCTCAGATACAGGTCTCACCCTCAGATACAGGGCTCACCCTCAGATACAGGTCTCACCCTCAGATACAGGGCTCACCCTCAGATACAGGTCTCACCCTCAGATACAGGGCTCACCCTCAGATACAGGTCTCACCCTCAGATACAGGGCTCACCCTCAGATACAGGTCTCACCCTCAGATACAGGGCTCACCCTCAGATACAGGTCTCACCCTCAGATACAGGGCTCACCCTCAGATACAGGTCTCACCCTCAGATACAGGGCTCACCCTCAGATACAGGTCTCACCCTCAGATACAGGGCTCACCCTCAGATACAGGTCTCACCCTCAGATACAGGGCTCACCCTCAGATACAGGTCTCACCCTCAGATACAGGGCTCACCCTCAGATACAGGTCTCACCCTCAGATACAGGGCTCACCCTCAGATACAGGTCTCACCCTCAGATACAGGGCTCACCCTCAGATACAGGTCTCACCCTCAGATACAGGGCTCACCCTCAGATACAGGTCTCACCCTCAGATACAGGGCTCACCCTCAGATACAGGTCTCACCCTCAGATACAGGGCTCACCCTCAGATACAGGTCTCACCCTCAGATACAGGGCTCACCCTCAGATACAGGTCTCACCCTCAGATACAGGGCTCACCCTCAGATACAGGTCTCACCCTCAGATACAGGGCTCACCCTCAGATACAGGTCTCACCCTCAGATACAGGGCTCACCCTCAGATACAGGTCTCACCCTCAGATACAGGGCTCACCCTCAGATACAGGTCTCACCCTCAGATACAGGGCTCACCCTCAGATACAGGTCTCACCCTCAGATACAGGGCTCACCCTCAGATACAGGTCTCACCCTCAGATACAGGGCTCACCCTCAGATACAGGTCTCACCCTCAGATACAGGGCTCACCCTCAGATACAGGTCTCACCCTCAGATACAGGGCTCACCCTCAGATACAGGTCTCACCCTCAGATACAGGGCTCACCCTCAGATACAGGTCTCACCCTCAGATACAGGGCTCACCCTCAGATACAGGTCTCACCCTCAGATACAGGGCTCACCCTCAGATACAGGTCTCACCCTCAGATACAGGGCTCACCCTCAGATACAGGTCTCACCCTCAGATACAGGGCTCACCCTCAGATACAGGTCTCACCCTCAGATACAGAGGACAGGTCTCACCCTCAGATAGAGTACAGGTCTCACCCCTCAGATACAGGTCTCACTCTCAGATACAGAGTACAGGTCTCACCCTCAGATACAGAGTACAGGTCTCCCCCTCAGATACAGGTCTCACCCCTCAGATACAGGTCTCACCCTCAGATACAGGTCTCACCCTCAGATACAGGTCTCACCCTCACATACAGGTCTCACCCCTCAGATACAGGTCTCCCCCTCAGATACAGGTCTCACCCTCAGATACAGGTCTCACCCTCAGATACAGGTCTCACCCTCAGATACAGGTCTCACCCTCAGATACAGAGTACAGGTCTCACCCTCAGATACAGAGTACAGGTCTCACCCTCAGATACAGATCTCACCCTCAGATACAGAGTACAGGTCTCACCCTCAGATACAGGTCTCACCCCTCTGACCCTGATCATCCTCTGAATGGACCACATGGAGCTGACGGGTGACTCTGCACTTGGCTGAAGTTCGACCTGAACGCAACATTAAAAATGTTGTATCTAAGGAAAACCTGTTAAGTCATGTTGCTGTTGCCATGGTTACCTGATGCAGACACTTGCGGGCCTTGTCGTACTCGCTCCTCAAGCAGTAGGCGCTGCCCAGGTTGAAGAGCATCATGGCCCGAGCTGATGTCACACTGCTGGGGTAACAGAGGGGAGTCTGCTTCCCTGCTACACACACAGGTCACACACACACACACACACACACACACACACACACACACACACACACACACAACACACAGGTCACACACAACAGGTCACACACACAGGTCACACACACAGGTCACAACACACAGGTGCACACACACAGGTCGACACAAGGTCACACAGGTTACACAGGTCACACACACACACACACACACACACACACAAAGGGGAGTATTAGAGGAATACCTGTAATACTTTAATTTAATCTATAGTCTTGCTTTGCTGTTTG